TTTACCCAAAATTCAATATCTCAACAGCACGCTGGATTCCGGCCATGAAAAACGACTTTTTCGAAGGGAAATCGTTCGGGGAATCGATTGCACGTCATCCCATAGACCGGAAAGCCTTGTAGGTATGTGTTTTGGACCATTTTACCCCATTTTCCCCTACTTTTTGGAGGAAATGTTTTTTCACAGCTCTATTTTTCGTAAAACATAAGCACTTTATGCATGGTTTTAGAATACTATGTCTTTAAATAACAGTTCATGAGATATTAGGGGAATACGGGGTACACTTTATAGGGGAGTAAGGGGTAAAAGTGAACCCTCGCTAAATTTATTTTAATTCTTAAAAATGTTGAACGATGCGATTGTTTTAATGAACCCAAAGGTTGCCTGCAATAATAAGATTTTTTTTTTTTGAAATTTAAGGTTAATTGGGGTTAAATAAGTTTTAATTTACTGCTATCTGTTTTAAAAGAGTTTTCACTTTTTGTCTGTATACAGCAAAACGATATAGTGGTTCTCAGGATTTTGAAAAAAATTGGTAGTTTTGTTCTTTAACGCAACATATTCGACCCTTATTTTTTATCTTGTCATTAGGGTGACTATTTATATATTAGGGCGGTCATAAAAAAATTTTTTTTTTGATTTTTTTCAAAAATTTATAACTTTTGAACTGTTTGGCCGATGACGGAACTCAAAATACCAAATGAAAGGTAATTTAAGAAAAAATATTAAGATATTAAAAAAAAAAGGATTTTGTATTAAAAAACATTGATTGTTTTTTTTTTCACTTTTACCCCTTACTCCCCTATAAAGTGTACACCGTATTCCCCTAATATCTCATGAACTGTTGTTTAAAGACATAGCATTCTTAAACCATGCATAAAAACCTTATGATTTATGAAAAATAAAGCTGTGACAAACCATTTCCTCCAAAAAGTAGGGGAAAATGGGGTTAAACATACCTACAAGGCTCTCCGTCTATGGGACTACGTGCAATCGATTCTCCGGACGATTTCCCTTCGGAAAAGTCGTTTTTCATGGCCGAAATTCAGCGTGCTGTTGAGATATTGAATTTTGGGTAATTTTGGACCCATTTTTGCCCATAGTGCAATGTCAGATTCTACACCACACAATTCCATGAAAATTAGCATAATTGTTTGCTAGGGGTAATGAACCAATTTTGTGCTGGAATTCAGCCATTTTGATACGCACCAATTTTTAAAACGGCACAATCGATGTTTTTTTTTTTAAATAAATCATAGCACGAAAACGGTTTATCTAATCGAAAAGAAGACTGAGACAAAGTTGGAGAAAGCAAATTTGTCTACTCAGAAAAAAAAATTATACTGAAATTAAGAGCACATTTTCACGACTCAGAGTGAAAAAAAAACTCGTTTTGCAAAAATCATCAAAATATTGCGTGAAAAAAATATCTAGCTTTAATATTTTTCGAATTTGGTTAATAAATAAATAACAATAACAATTGTAGTGGCCATTGTGTCCAAACCAGAAAAGTTACATTTTTTGAAAGGCTTTCAAATCAAGATAAGTTTAAAAATCATAAAAATATACTTTTTATGTTATTGAAGTTTTACAAGTTATTTTTTTTTTTTCATTTTCGACCAAAATCTGAGATTTTTTTTTCAGAGTGTATTTATTTCTGAAAAGACAATCCAGTTTCCTACAACTTTGTCTAAGGCATCATTAAGAGTTGATGAATCATTTTGGTGCTATGATTTATTAAGAAATATCGAACATATAATTTTGAAAAAGTAAGCGTGAGTCAAAATGGCCGAATTCCAGCACAATATTGGATCATTCCCAGATAACGAATTGATGCTCAACAAGTGTTGTTTAATCGATTTTATTTCAGCCTTGGATTGAATAATTGCAGTACATAGACCACGTTAACCTTTGTTCAGCTTTTAAACATCTAAATCTGGTGATTTTAATCAGCCACAGCTTAACATTATAAGACTTTTCAGACATTGAATAACAATCTTTTCCAACCCTTGTTCAGCCTTCTAGTTCTATTTCAAAAATAATCATGGAAGACCGCTTCATATCTTATGCATTATTGTGTAACTGCTTTTATCTTGTTGCTGACTAATATGATTTACATATTTATATTGTTAATATAAGTCTAAACATTACCTTTGCATATTGGGACTCGAACCGGCTATCGATGAATCACAGTCGTAAACCATACCTCCTGGACCACTCAAGCATATGTGTGGCAAAAGGTATGATCATTGACTTGAAGTACGTCATATTTAAGTTGAATAACAGCAACCGGAAAAGTATTATGCAGCAATGCAGAATTTCAAACAACAACTGGTGACATTCCTCTCATTTTCAAGTGCAATTAGTACAATGTGTACACAAGTGCGTGATTTATTTGGATGGTCATTTGGATGCTATTTTAGTGCCATATTTGAGAAATAGTTTTGGAATGCGGTATGAAACTTCAGTGCAATTCAGAAAATGTTAATTCTTCCGACGTCGTCGCAGTCCACATGTACCTGGAGCTGTTCCTCCTCCTAGTCTCTACTGCTGCCACTGCTTGTAATTAGAAAGGTAGGCAGTGAATTTAGAAGAACTAAAATGCGAGAAATGCAACGAGTGGCACAGATACTGATGACATTTAACAAATCAAGCTATCAAAATATGTGCAACGCATTGCTGATTTGTGGAGTTGTGTTCAGCTTAAAGAAGGCTTGTTCAATCTTTAGATAAGCCAACTTATTGAGGTTGGATTATGGGAATAAAATTCGCTTCATGCACTACCAATCAAGTATATATTCTGCCTAATGTTAATCAACTTTGTACACCTTAAATCAACCAATAATCAGCTTCTGTTCTTACTGTTCAGCTTGAATTGTTGCTTCGATTGCCCCTGGTATAATTGTTCACCTAAGGCAACCCAAGCCCCGTAGCGTGGGTAGATCACCTTTTCGTAGTACGTTACGGGATGTAAGATCTACCACCGATTCCTAGTCCTGACTACTTTGGGAACTAGGGGAACAGGATTACTTTCTAATCAATGGAACACATCTTAGTCCTTGTTACTTTTTATGCCTTGTTGATAGTGACAAGACTCGGCTTTGTCCACCGAGGATGATCTTGAAACAAGGAAAAAATGACTTAGTTGTCTTCAACTATGTGATTCCTAATCTTCTATTCGTTGTTCCCTAGTTTGAAGTGGTTAAGACTAGGGTTCTGATGCATGGTCACTATCGGTGTCATTCTTTAATTTTGCCGCTAAGGAATCCAATTTTGACTGACAAAGGGGCGTGCCTTTGGAGGGTGTTTCAACACTCCGAAGGGTATAAATAGCAGGACCTTTCAATTAGAATCGATTCCTTGCGATGGAATCGAATGACAACTGTAAAAAAATCGAATACTTCATCATTTCTCAATAGTGATGGAATAATACGACATGCACTAAACTAAGGACACGGGATGTACTACAATAGATCAATTTACTGGTCGCAGTAAGTCCCGTACAGAGGAAAAAAAATGTAACCCAAGTAACAATTCAGCGAGGTTTCATAGAATTCAGAGATGGTAGATTAATATCGATTCATCAGTTGGCGTGGATTTGCTCTCCCTTAGCTCAGTCGGTAAAGGCGCAACTACAGAGCAAGACCATGCTGGATGTGGCTGGGTTCGATTCCCGGTTCGGTCTAGGCATTTTTCGGGTTGGAAAATGTCTCGTCTTCCCTGGGCATAGAAGTATGATTGGACTTGCCACACAATCATATCAATGCAAAAATGGTACATGCATCGAAAGCTCTCAATTAATAACTGTGGAAGTGCATCTAGAACGCTTAGTTGAGAGCACGCAATAAGCTAATATGCGATATGCAATAAGCTTGAAATGCGAAGAAGAAGAAGAAGAAGAAGAAGAAGAAGAAGAAGAAGAAGAAGAAGGGTTTGCTCTATATAAGATAATTTAGAGTACCTCCTGGTCATATTTTTAGAATCTTCAGTCAACTTCGAGGAAATCTCAAAAACTAAGTTTTCGAATAGCTCCACGGCAAGTTGAGGTAACTATCAAGGTAAGCGAAGAATTCTAAATAGTTCATAGGAGTAACAGTTACACAGAGTGAATTTGAAGTAAAAGTCTGCCTGAATGGCCTAAATGGCCTTCAGACAAATTTGAGTGGATCATAAGAACATTTTCCGAAAACTTCCTGGGCAAGTTCAGAGGACTTCCAGGATAGATTCAGAAAAAAAAAATTAGATCTGAGAAATTCTTCAAAGCCGTCAGGGATGTCCTTTTCAAGCGATCATTTAGAGAACTTCCCGGTCATGCTTTGAGAGTCCCCAGCTGCAGTCTAGTCAACTTAATGGATAATCTTGAAAACACCAAGCGTAAGCGCAAAATACAAAAGGGAAGCTCAAAGGGCTTTCTGGCCTTACCTTCGGAGTGTATTCTGATGTTCTCCAAAGCAAGTTTGAAAATTTCATTGTAGTACCTGATAAATTTCAGCGACGTCTCAGATTCTATGAAAAGAACCTTGTCTGGATGACCCACGTGACTTGACCTTTATGGCTATATACATCCGCGCCAGTGTTTCTAAGTTCTGTTGAGGCCCGTATAAGGCAGAAAGGGTCTTTATTTGGCATGTTGATTTCTTGGGGAGTTCCAAATTGAGATCCAAATAAGCCTTCAGAGAAGTCCAAATGACCTCTTGAAAATGTTTTTAGACTAGTTAAGAATATCTCATGTTTCAGAGCACGTCCATATAACTTTCAAGGGTCTGAAGGCTTTTAGAAAACTCCGGAGAATCTACAGGCTGGATCATAATTGCGCGTCACGTCAACACCATGATGCTAAATTGTGCTAAATTGACGCGATTTGCTTCTCATCTAACGTATTTGGCGGAGCTTAACACGAGGAAAAGTTAAGTTCAAAAAAGTTGGATTTTAGATATACTGTGAAATGCTGTTTCTGAAGGCCATCTGCAAATAAATTTGGAGAATAAGAGACGAACCAGCTAACGGCTGAAAAACTCTATAAAAAATAATTGGAGAACATCAAAGAAGTCCAAAGAAATTCAGTCTTTTGGACTTTTATTAACTCCTCCGGACGTTCTCTGAACTCCTCCGGACGTTCTATGAACTCTTCCGAACGTTCTCTGAACTCCTCCGACCGTTCTCTGATTTCTCCCGGAGGTTCTCTGAACTCCTCCGGACGTTCTCTGAACTCCTCCGGACGTTCTATGAACTCTTCCGAACGTTCTCTGAACTCCTCCGACCGTTCTCTGATTTCTCCCGGAGGTTCTCTGAACTCCTCCGGACGTTCTCTGAACTCCTCCGGACGTTCTATGAACTCTTCCGAACGTTCTCTGAACTCCTCCGACCGTTCTCTGATTTCTCCCGGAGGTTCTCTGAACTCCTCCGGACGTTCTCTGAACTCCTCCGGACGTTCTCTGAACTCCTCCGGACGTTCTCTGAACTCCTCCGGACGTTCTCTGAACTCCTCCGGACGTTCTCTGAACTCCTCCGGACGTTCTCTGAACTCCTCCGGACGTTCTCTGAACTCCTCCGGACGTTCTCTGAACTCCTCCGGACGTTCTCTGAACTCCTCCGGACGTTCTCTGAACTCCTCCGGACGTTCTCTGAACTCCTCCGGACGTTCTCTGAACTCCTCCGGACGTTCTCTGAACTCCTCCGGACGTTCTCTGAACTCCTCCGGACGTTCTCTGAACTCCTCCGGACGTTCTCTGAACTCCTCCGGACGTTCTCTGAACTCCTCCGGACGTTCTCTGAACTCCTCCGGACGTTCTCTGAACTCCTCCGGACGTTCTCTGAACTCCTCCGGACGTTCTATGAACTCTTCCGAACGTTCTCTGAACTCCTCCGACCATTCTCTGATTTCTCCCGGAGGTTCTCTGAACTCCTCCGGACGTTCTCTGAACTCCTCCGGACGTTCTATGAACTCTTCCGAACGTTCTCTGAACTCCTCCGACCGTTCTCTGATTTCTCCCGGAGGTTCTCTGAACTCCTCCGGACGTTCTCTGAACTCCTCCGGACGTTCTCTGAACTCCTCCGGACGTTCTCTGAACTCCTCCGGACGTTCTCTGAACTCCTCCGGACGTTCTCTGAACTCCTCCGGACGTTCTCTGAACTCCTCCGGACGTTCTCTGAACTCCTCCGGACGTTCTCTGAACTCCTCCGGACGTTCTCTGAACTCCTCCGGACGTTCTCTGAACTCCTCCGGACGTTCTCTGAACTCCTCCGGACGTTCTCTGAACTCCTCCGGACGTTCTCTGAACTCCTCCGGACGTTCTCTGAACTCCTCCGGACGTTCTCTGAACTCCTCCGGACGTTCTCTGAACTCCTCCGGACGTTCTCTGAACTCCTCCGGACGTTCTCTGAACTCCTCCGGACGTTCTCTGAACTCCTCCGGACGTTCTCTGAACTCCTCCGGACGTTCTCTGAACTCCTCCGGACGTTCTCTGAACTCCTCCGGACGTTCTCTGAACTCCTCCGGACGTTCTCTGAACTCCTCCGGACGTTCTCTGAACTCCTCCGGACGTTCTCTGAACTCCTCCGGACGTTCTCTGAACTCCTCCGGACGTTCTCTGAACTCCTCCGGACGTTCTCTGAACTCCTCCGGACGTTCTCTGAACTCCTCCGGACGTTCTCTGAACTCCTCCGGACGTTCTCTGAACTCCTCCGGACGTTCTCTGAACTCCTCCGGACGTTCTCTGAACTCCTCCGGACGTTCTCTGAACTCCTCCGGACGTTCTATGAACTCTTCCGAACGTTCTCTGAACTCCTCCGACCATTCTCTGATTTCTCCCGGAGGTTCTCTGAACTCCTCCGGACGTTCTCTGAACTCCTCCGGACGTTCTATGAACTCTTCCGAACGTTCTCTGAACTCCTCCGACCGTTCTCTGATTTCTCCCGGAGGTTCTCTGAACTCCTCCGGACGTTCTCTGAACTCCTCCGGACGTTCTCTGAACTCCTCCGGACGTTCTCTGAACTCCTCCGGACGTTCTCTGAACTCCTCCGGACGTTCTCTGAACTCCTCCGGACGTTCTCTGAACTCCTCCGGACGTTCTCTGAACTCCTCCGGACGTTCTCTGAACTCCTCCGGACGTTCTCTGAACTCCTCCGGACGTTCTCTGAACTCCTCCGGACGTTCTCTGAACTCCTCCGGACGTTCTCTGAACTCCTCCGGACGTTCTCTGAACTCCTCCGGACGTTCTCTGAACTCCTCCGGACGTTCTCTGAACTCCTCCGGACGTTCTCTGAACTCCTCCGGACGTTCTCTGAACTCCTCCGGACGTTCTCTGAACTCCTCCGGACGTTCTCTGAACTCCTCCGGACGTTCTCTGAACTCCTCCGGACGTTCCCTGAACTCCTCCGGACGTTCCCTGAACTCCTCCGGACGTTCCCTGAACTCCTCCGGACGTTCCCTGAACTCCTCCGGACGTTCTCTGAACTCCTCCTGGAGTTCTCTGAACTCCTCCTGGACGTTCTCTGAACTCCTCCTGGACGTTCTCTGAACTCCTCCTGGACGTTCTCTGAACTCCTCCTGGACGTTCTCTGAACTCCTCCTGGACGTTCTCTGAACTCCTCCGGACGTTCTCTGAACTCCTCCTGGACGTTCTCTGTACTCCTCCGGACGTTCTCTGAACTCCTCCGGACGTTCTCTGAACTCCTCCGGACGTTCTCTGAACTCCTCCGGACGTTCTCTGAACTCCTCCGGACGTTCTCTGAACTCCTCCGGACGTTCTCTGAACTCCTCCGGACGTTCTCTGAACTCCTCCGGACGTTCTCTGAACTCCTCCGGACGTTCTCTGAACTCCTCCGGACGTTCTCTGAACTCCTCCGAACGTTCTCTGAACTCCTCCGGACGTTCTCTGAACTCCTCGTGGACGTTCTCTGAACTCCTCCTGGACGTTCTCTGAACTCCTCCTGGACGTTCTCTGAACTCCTCCTGGACGTTCTCTGAACTCCTCCTGGACGTTCTCTGAACTCCTCCGGACGTTCTCTGAACTCCTCCTGGACGTTCTCTGAACTCCTCCTGGACGTTCTCTGAACTCCTCCTGGACGTTCTCTGAACTCCTCCGGACGTTCTCTGAACTCCTCCGGACGTTCTCTGAACTCCTCCGGACCTTCTCTGAACTCCTCCGGACGTTCTCTGAACTCCTCCGGACGTTCTCTGAACTCCTCCGGACGTTCTCTGAACTCCTCCGGACGTTCTCTGAACTCCTCCGGACGTTCTCTGAACTCCTCCGGACGTTCTCTGAACTCCTCCGGACGTTCTCTAAACTCCTCCGGACGTTCTCTGGACTCCTCCAGACGTTCTCTGAACTCCTCCGGACATTCTCTGGACTCCTCCGGACGTTCTCTGAACTCCTCCGGTCGTTCTCTCAACTCCTCCGGACGTTCTCTGAACTCCTTCGGACGTTCTTTGAACTCCTCCGGACGTTCTCTGTTGTTCTCCGCAGTCCGGACGTTTTTTGAAGTTCTCCGGACGTTCTCTGAAGTTTTCTGGACGTTCTCTGAAGCTTTGCAGACGTTTTCTGAAGTTCACTGGATTTCTCTATTTTTTTTCCAAAAATTTTCTGAGCGTCTCTAGTTCTCTATTGTACTATATCCTGACTAAAAAATCTCTGGTAAATCGCAAAACCAATTTAAGAAAACATTTCGGAAATTTCGAGAATGCCTCTTGAGATGTTCAACTAACTTCGAGCGCGTGTTCAGACGGCATTCAGTGAAAATCTGGAAATCTTTCATTTTAAGTTCTGATGGTCTCTAAATGTAGTCCGGATGAAATTTGTTGTATACCCTGTAGCAATTTTGTAGCACCTCTTGTAAGTTGGAGAGCCCTTCAGAACCAAGTCTGAAATCCTCCCAGGGTATGTTCTTTGGCAGCAAATCAAGGGAGCACCAGGGAAATTTTCTAACCATCTAATGAACAATTTCAGAAGACCTTCAAGGTTATTTTGGAGATCCTGAAATGAGAAATTCAGTAATAAAAAGTCCATATCACGTCCAGCAACAAGTTTTCGAAGTCTTTTTGTGGGAAAATCAAAATAATCCACTTGTAATTCGGGGAGATTTTAAAGGTAAGAAAATTCCGCGATTTTCTTGAATATCTCCTGTCAAATTAAAAGGACTTGTCCTGAACATCCTGAGTTTTAAGTTCAGCATGAAACAAAGCAAGTTTAGAAGACTGATAGGGTAAGTTGCAAGACTGACATTAAAGTTGCAACAACTTAAGAGAACAACTTAAGTTAAGAAGCGATCTTCAAACGATTTTGAGAAAACTTTTATAAGATCTTTGGGTTGAGTTCAAAGTAGACGTTTAAGCTGTACTGTTCAGAAGTTTTCCAACGTATACGTTACTATAGTTTCATAAGATTTAAAATATAATCAGTAATAACTCCTGGGCAAGTTGAAGTGACGTCCAAAGGCAAGTCCTGAGAGACTATTTTTGCTCAAAAAGTCAGAAAATATACTCAAAATTTTACAGATCTCAAAAAATCCAGAATGTCTCATGAAAAGTTCAGGAAACGCTGACGGTGAATTCAGGGGATGTCTGATTTTAAGGGAATTAGTGAATTTGGAGTGATTTCATAAGAAGGCTGGAGCATAAATTGAAGTCCTAATGATCTTTTATTTCAAAGGGCAAATTAAGAGCTGGAAGCCCAAAGGATCAAAGGATGTGGGGAAACCCAAAGAATCAAAAAGCAATTCTCGTGGATTTTCCGCCAATGTCCATAATGTCTTCTCAAAGGTTCAAGAATCAAATGCAGATAACTTCTGGCAATAATTTGAAGAATTTACAAGCAAGGGATTTTGAGTGATCATTAGACTCTCCACCCATCTTCCCTCGTAAAACACTGAAAGATTTTCAGTTAACCCCCCTCCTCCAAACATTTGTATCAGTAAAATTTTAAAATTTTCAGGAAACCGTTGCCGGAATTTCAACTTATGATGAGCCATCGCTCCCCTCTTTATCCCTTACATAATTTGTGGATGAACCTAATGAACTGAGGCTTAGCTAGAGTTTGCCAGATTACACCATCGTCGGCATAAGCCAAGGAGATAGATCTTCAGGAAACTTCGTAGAACTTTAGAACACATAAAATAAGTTCATGGAATTGCGTAGAAATTCACGAAACTTCGTAGAAGCTCTGGGAACTTTCTAGAACTGCGGCAAAAAGGAGTTCAGGAAACTCAGTGAACTTCGTAGAACTTCTTTGAACTTTGTAGAAGTATAGAAATTGTTGTAGAACTTCAGAAAATGTTGTAGAAGTTAAGAGAACTTTGTAGAACTTAATCTAACGTTGACGAAATTTAGCGAATTGTGTGGGGATTTGGAGAGATTCTATGATGTTCAAAGATTTTTCATTTACTTCATTGTGCTTCGTAAAGCTTTTGGGACATCTTAGAAATCCAGGAAACCTTATAGAAATTTGGGTAACTGCGTAGAGCTTCAAAGAACTTTGCTGATGTTCTGGGAGCTTTGTAAAAATTATAGAAAAAATCATAGAAGAGGAACACTATGTACAAGTTTGGGGAGTTTCGTGTATGTTAAGGGAGCTTTGTATGATTACAGGAAACTTCTGGGACCTGTGGGACCTTCTTAAAATGTCAAAGCACTTCGTTATTCACTCAATGTCGAGTTATAGAACCATAGTAAGAATGAAAATAATGGCCACTGTGATAGCGACTTTGCATGGGACTGCTATTATATAACTCGATAATTCTATAACTCGATGGTCCCTTCTATGTCGAGTTGAATAGAGTTCATTGTAGGTTAATGGGCTTGAAATAGTTCAGGGAATCCTGTAACAGCTAGAGAGATCTTTGTAGAACTTCAAAGAACTTCGCAAACAATCAACAAAATTTGTTATAGTGAAGGGAAATTTATAGAAGTGCGGTAAACTTTGTAGAAGTTCAACAAACTTTGTAAAAGCTAAGCATATTACGTAGAATTTCGAAGAACTTCGTAAAACTTCCTAGAAATGAAAGAAATTTTATTAAATTTGGAAATTCGTCAAACTTTGTAGAAGCTCACAGAACTTCGTAGAAAATCAAGGAATTTCGTAGAGGTTAATCAAATTTCCTATAAGTTCAGTGATTTTCGTATACTCAGTATAGGTTTATCATAAGACTTATTTCAAAAAAGCTCAATGAACTTCTTGGAACTTTGGTAACTTCGTATTGGTCGAATAAAGAGATCTTGATTGAAAAAAAACGATGGAACTTGGAACAAGTTTAGCGAACACTATATGAATTATAGAAAATCTAAACAAGTTCAGCAAAAAAGGTAAAAATCAGTTGTAGTTTGTACAAGCGATGGACAAATATTAGAAGCATACGGATCTTCGTAGAAGTTGACGGAATTTCCCAAGAGATCACGAAACTTCCCACAAATTAAGAAAACTTCATAGAGGCTCAGAGAACTTTGGATAAGCCCAATGGATTGGAAGAAGTTTAGGAAGCTTCGTTTGAGATCATGGAACTGACTTTAAGTTCAAGAAAGTTTGTGGAAAGAAGTAAGTTAGTAGAAGTGCAGAAAATTTCGTTGAGTTTTTAATGGCAAAACGTCGTTGAGTTTTTAATGACAAAAAGTCGAAAGACAAATGGTCGATGGACAAATGGTCGATGAACAAATGGTCGATGGATAAAAGGTCGAACGGAGAAAAGCTCTAAAAGACAAAAGGTTGAACGGACAAAAGGTCGAATGTGCAAATTTTCAAATAGACAAAAGGTCAAAATTGAAATAAAGGTCAAATGAACAAAACAGCGAAAGAATTTAATTTAATTCCATTAAGAATTTTTCCCTTTAAATTCTGATTGTATGACAAAAGGTCGAAAGACAAAATGTTGAACGACAAAAGGTTGAAAGACAAAAGGTTGAGAGACAAAAGGTTGAAAGACAAAAGGATGAAAGACGAAATGTCGAAAGACGAAAAATCCAATTACAGAAGTTCGAATACACAAAAGATCGAAATGACATAATGTCGAATGTGCAAATATTTGAAGAGACAAAAGGTTGAGATTGAAATAAAGGTTAAATGGACAAAACATCGTCAGAATGTAATTTAATTCCATTGGGACTTATGTCCCTATAAATTCTGATTGTATGACGAAAGGTCGAAAGACAAAAGGTTGAAAGACAAAAGGTTGAAAGAAAAAAGGTCGAAAGACAAAATGTCGAAACACAAAAGGTCGAATGATAAAAGGTCAAAAGACAAAAGGTCGAAAGACAAAAGGTCGAAAGACAAAAGGTCAAAAGACAAAAGGTCGAAAGACAAAAGGTCGAAAGACAAAAGGTCGAAAGACAAAAGGTCGAAAAACAAAAGGTCGAAAGGCAAAAGGTAGAAAGACAAAATGTCGAAAGACAAAATGTCAAAAGACAAAATGTCGAAAGACAAAATGTCGAACGACAAAAGGTCAAAAGACAAAAGGTCAAAAAACAAAAGGTCGAAAGGCAAAAGGTCGAAAGACAAAAGGTCAAAAGACAAAAGGTAGAAAGACAAAAAGTCTATAGACAAAAGTTTGAAAGAAAAAATATCGAAACACGAAGGATTGAAAGACAAAAGGTCGTGAGACAAAATGTCGAAAGACAAAAAAATCGAACGACAAGAAGTCGAATTACAAAAAGTCGAATTACAAAAGGTCGAAAGACAAAATGTCAAAAGCCAAAAGGTTGAAAGACAAAATGTCGAAAGGCAAAAAGTTGAAAGACAAAAGGTCAAAAGACAAAAGTTCGAAAGACAAAATGTCGCAAGACAAAAGGTCAAAAGATAAAAGGTAGAAAGACAAAAAGTCTATAGACAAAAGTTCGAAAGAAAAAAGATTGAAAGACAAAAGGTCGGAAGACAAAAGGTCGAAAGACAAAATGTCGAAAGACAAAAAATCGAACGACAAAAAGTCGAATTACAAAAGGTCGAAAGACAAAAAGTCAAAAAATAAAAGGTTGAAAGACAAAATGTTGAAAGACAAAAGGTTGAAAGACAATATGTCGAAAGTCAAAAGTTCGAAAGACAAAAGGTCGAAAGACAAAAGGTCGAAAGACAAAAGGTCGAAAGACAAAAGGTCGAAAGACAAAAGGTCGAAAGACAAAAGGTCGAAAGACAAAAGGTCGAAAGACAAAAGGTCGAAAGACAAAATGTCGAAAGACAAAAGGTCGAAAGACAAAAGGTCGAAAGACAAAAAATCGAAAGACAAAAGGTCGAAAGACAAAAGGTCGAAAGACAAAAGGTCGAAAGACAAAAGGTCGAAAGACAAAAGGTCGAAAGACAAAAGGTCGAAAGACAAAAGGTCGAAAGACAAAAGGTCGAAAGACAAAAGGTCGAAAGACAAAAGGTCGAAAGACAAAAGGTCGAAAGACAAAAGGTCGAAAGACAAAAGGTCGAAAGACAAAAGGTCGAAAGACAAAAGGTCGAAAGACAAAAGGTCGAAAGACAAAAGGTCGAAAGACAAAAGGTCGAAAGACAAAAGGTCGAAAGACAAAAGGTCGAAAGACAAAAGGTCGAAAGACAAAAGGTCGAAAGACAAAAGGTCGAAAGACAAAAGGTCGAAAGACAAAATGTTGAAAGACAAAAGGTCAAAAGACAAAAGGTCGAAAGACAAAAGGTCGAAAGACAAAATGTTGAAAGACAAAAGGTCGAACGACAAAAGGTTGAAAGACAAAAAGTTGAAAGACAAAAGGTCAAAAGACAAAAGTTCGAAAGACAAAATGTCGAAAAACAAAATTTCATAAGACAAAAGGTTGAAAGACAAAACGTCGAAATACAAAAAGTTGAATTACAAAGAGTCGAAAGATAAAATCTCAAAAGACAAAAGTTCGACAGGCAAAAGTTCGAAAGACAGAAGTTCGAAAGACAAAAGTTCAAAAGACAAAAGGTCAAAATGACAAAAGACCGAAAAAGTCGAATGGACAAAAGTTAGAGTAATCAAAATGTAGAATGATGAGGAAAAAAAACAAAAGGTCGAATGATTCAAAGAGGGACAAATGGTCAAATGATTAGAAGGGGAACAATGCCAATGATGCCAAATGTCAAATGAGACAGAAAGTTAAATGGACAAAAGGTCAATTAATTTGAAAGGAGACAAAAGGTCGACTGGAAAAACTAGTCGAATGGTCCGAAGAGGGACAAAAGGTCGGATGAACAAAAGGTCTTTGACTCGTTGCACCAATTGCAATTCATTGGACGGACCATGATCATCACATTATACAATTCTTGCTATGCCCAGCTTTGTGAAGCATTTTGGAGACTCTTCGAGTGAAAAATTACTATTTATAAGTAGTATTCTTCGTTTAAGGCCGAAGTTAACTTAGTCTGATGAAATTGAATTAATGGCGACCAGTTACCAGTGACAATCTGTGGGTACTAGTGGTTTGGAACAACCAGCGGAAATTTGGAGGATTGGAACGGCCAGAAGTTTTGGATCTGGACAACTTCCAGGAAGTGATGTATTGGGACGGCTATTTGAGAGGTGACTCACATTTAAATAAGTTCTGCCAGCTTATCGGGATGGCCATCATGGACAAAGTTGGTATGGGATAGACTGAATGATGAAAAGTTTGGACTTTCAACGTAGAGGAATTAATTTGGACGCCAATTAGCACACTTGTCGTAAAAGCTTCTATGCGACTTATTTCAGTCCTAATAAAGTCACTAACTGGGACACCAAATTGCGTTTGTGGTTCACGGAAAGACATTTTGATAGTTTTATTAAACTAGATCAGGACGACATTTAATTTTAAATTAATTCTTACCTTAAATTCAGTCTGCATTTTTTGGCAACTCTATGTTATTTCAAATGTTGATAAAAATTTAGCAATTTTGAAGAGAAATCAATGCATTAAAATTAAAGCACTTGCGAAAATCATTCGAAATAAAACATCAAATACTGGAAAGCACAAACTTCAAGTAGGACAATGCCAAAGCCCTCTCAAACGGTCGAGATCCGTCAAGCCAAACAGCCAACAAGTTCCTAGGAGGTACACTTATGTTTTCATTCATCCGACTGTCCGAGCAAAAATCCACCAAATCAACAGCAAATTTCCGCCACTGCCGCCACGTCAGTGACAGCAACAGAGCACAAGCACCAAACCAAACACTCAATATTGTTTCCGCCCTCTTCAGGGAGAGCGTATTTTTCCACTTGTACCACCAAACAAATATAGCTGGAAGCATCTCGAGGCAAGCATCCCTGACCGTGTGGCGACGTCCCACTCTCGATCGAGTGCGATGCTTCCAGAAGAGCAATTTCCTCCCACCAGAAGAAATTCATTTGCTTGGCTAATTGAAGGGCCCCGGATTGTTTGCGTTTGTGCGGGTGGCATCTTCTGAGGGAAAAGTCAAGCCTTGTTCGGGCAAATCAGTTACGTAAGAAACTTTTCCCTCGCAGCCTTTTCCCAAGAAAGTAACACTCCGTTCAAATCTCATAAAATCCAAAGACAGTTTCCCGATGGAAACTTCCCCATTTACTGCCGAAAGCGTCTGAGTTGGGCAATGAAATAAAGTGAAATAAAAATAAAAGAAAGCTCCGGGCCAGGGGAAAACTTTCCGTCAGTCCAAGTGTCAAACGCACTCGTAGAGAAACCGAAAAGCGAGTGGGCGGGGCGGCGAAAAGTTATTTTTTTCCTTTTACCCCATAATCATCATTGTCGCTCGGTGTCGTCGTTGGTCACTCAAAATGATGGCAGAGAAGCTAGAAGACGGCCGCTCACTAAAATCAGTCAACCGGTGCGATTACTTCTGCTACTAGGCACTAACTGAGGTGCCCATAAAATCCGGTGATCCGAGGATGGTGGCCAACCGCTTGCTGAGGGAAGGTTCGCATAAATGGAAAAGTTTCCGTGAGGAACGAGATTTCTGTGACACTTTATTAGTCAGTCTCGTTTATTTTCTGGTCACCATCGGTTGGAACATGTCGGCGGGGGCCAAGCAAGCAATGACACTTCCAAAAGAGTTGAGTGGGTTGCACAAATTTTGATCAAACGGATTTCTTTCGGAGCCATTTGCAGCGGCCATCTCCGGCTAAGCTGAGTTTGATTGGAAGTGATGTCAGCAGGGGCTTGGATAGGAATGAGAAAGGTACTGAGTGGTTTTGTGATTTGTTGGCAGACGTTCGGGTTCGGTCAGGCAGAGCGGGAAAGTTTGGGATTGTGCAGTTATTAGTTGGATTGATCGATAGTGACAGTGAAAATGGTTGATTCGAGGAAGCCTAGAGTCAATCCTGTAAAGTTCTAGGGAAATCAAAGTTAGGCCTGTCATGGTGGTTACTCTAAGACAGTTCCATTAATTTCAGGAAAAACACAGAAAGTTTATAAAGTTCTGATAAACTCCGGAAAAAATAAGGAAAGTTCCGAACTCCTTAGATTAATTTCGAATAGGCACCCTGCCAAACATGATAGAATATCATGTTCCAAAAGCTTTCCACAGCAACTCAGAAACCTTAGAAAAGAAATCTCTCTGTCAGATCTTCCTTTGGTTGTCATTCCAACTGGAACCGCTTTAAAATACTTCAACATTTTTTTTTTTCAGTGCTCATTGAGGCATTCCTAAAGTCCCTCAAAAATTCCTTGGATTTTTTTCTACATCTTAAACTAGTCTAAACTTCAAACTTCTGTCTTAACCAGGAAGTGCTCTGGACGTAACATGCCGGACTTTTCAGAAGACATTCCGACATTTTCCAGAACGTCATCCCGCTTAAACAGCATCACCCTCCAAGCTTGAATTGCATACACTTATGAGTGCAAAAGATTAAACGCTACTCATCTCATGCTGCAGTTTCTGACTTGTTTCGCTTTAATCCGCATCCACCGTATGTTGCACAAACAGACTTGCACCGGTGCATTGATAGTTAACTGCCACCATACCCGCACTGCGGCGAACCCAAGATGTCTCCCACGACCGACGACAGGTTCCACTGCGTCTACGGCTACCCTCAGAACGTCGTCTTTCAAACAATGACAGCTCAACCGGAAATGAGTTTTCCCAAACACACACACACACACCTCCTGCACTGTTCCCCCCACATAGACCAAAGTCCCAAACAAACCCATCTTATTTGTTTACCCTGCTGCTGCTGCTGTTGCTGCAGTTTACCTTGGGTGTGTGTGGCAAAGCCATTTAAACACAGCGCCGCAGCAACAACGGCAAGCGAACATCTCGACAACCGACGGAGCCAGAATCTACCTATTGTTTCCCTGAGTTTTATAAGTGCCGTGGACTGTCGAACGACCATCATCTGCCGAACCGTCCTCCTCCGGACTGACTGAGTGGAAGGTGCATGATGATGGCGTGCACCACGTCGATTTGTGTTTCTCCAAACAATCAAAAGAAGCAGATTTCATTTGCTGCCTGGTACTTGGTTCAGAGGGGTAGGAGAGGGGTGAGAGGTGAGTACCACTATTTGTTTGCTTATTTGTTTGCCTTCCCACTTTGGGGGTTTGGTCGGTTTTCTATGAGCTGGGGCGAGCATGCTAGCACTGCTGGCATGGCGTTGGTTTTTGATGATGGATAATTGAATATTAGCATGAAATGAAAGAATTCCGACCGGGACAACGAGAAGCCGGCGGAAGGAGTGGGAGGGAGGGGGTGGAATGAAACCGAGCTGTTCCATGCTGTACCCGCATTAAGGGGAGGCAACACACATGTTGTTGGTCGTCAAATGCCGAGTTAGGAAAAAGCTGCGGACGTTGGCGTGCGTAGATTTTAGTTGCCGGAAAAGGAACTTTGGCTGCATTTTAAGATCTCCTGTAGGGGGAATTAGTAGTAGCAGTTTAGAAGTTGATTGTTGGATTTTTCACACTTAAATTTGATAAGTTTTATAAGTTGAGATCTGCCATGAATCTGATGGGTTTTGACGTAGACTTCGTCTTACGGGAAGGTACTGGGGGTAAATCGAAAATCTAAAATTGCGACCGTCACGAAAAGGTGTAAGGTTTTGAACGCTTATAACTTTGTCATTTATAGTCATATGAAATTAAAATCCAAATACACCAATCGATAGGAAATAACTCTAACAATCTGCTACATTAAATGCTTTTTCAATTTTCTAAAAAAAATCGTTGTGAAATGTACATATAGAAAGTGATAATGTTATCACTGTTTCAATGAAATAAACGCTCTCCCCAAACCAAGTCGTCATAATCGAGAACCATTTAAAGCTGTGCATCGTTTTGCTTGAACCTTTAAAGCTATATCAGAGCTTTGCTGTCGTTCCTCCGCTCATTCAGACAATTGAATGCCTCTACTCGCCCGTTGAAAAAACAAAAGGTGATGGATCACCAAAGTGTGGATGCAACCGCATTCGATCAAGTAGCCCCTAAAAGGCCTCGCAAGCAAGCTGCTGCCAGCAACCACACGGAAAGGTTGCTGCAGAGTAATCCGTTCTCGGCACTCCCCTAATAAGCAGATGTGGATCCAGTTGAGAAACGGGAAAAAGTGCCCCCACTGTTCACCTTGACGAAGGACCTCGCGTTGCTCAGGAATAAGCTGGCTGAAAATCCAATCCATCCGATGTTCAAGATGTGCAGCAAAGGGATCAAAATCTTGTGCTTAACGCTGGCGGACTACAACGCTGTTGGCACTTTTCTTCAGCTGAACCGGTTTGAGTTCTACACTCACGACGTCCCTGGAAGCAAACCACTGAAAATGGTGATCCGTGGTCTTCCAAATCTCCCTGTTGCGGAGATTAAAGCGGAATTGGAGCGCCTTCATCTGCAACCAATCAACATTTTTCCCATTGCGAGACGTGATGAAGCCAATGCATTCCGGGACCAGTTGTACCTGGTGCACTTCGATAAGGACTCCATCAATGTGGCTGCTCTGCGGCAGATTCGCGCGCTGTTCAACATCGTGATTCAGTGGGAGCAGTATCGCCCTCGGCACCGTGACGTGACACAGTGCACTAATTGTCCGGAATTTGGGCACGGTACGAAGAATTGTCACATGAAAACTAGTTGTGGCAAATGTGCTGGGCCTCACAATACTACCGCCTGCAAGAAGAAAGAAAAAACTGAACCTAAGTGCGTGAACTGTGATTCCAACCATCTGGACAGCGATAGGAGATGTCCCAAGCGAGCGGCCTTCATCCAGATCCGACAACAGGCTTCCACGAGGAACCAACCTGGTCGCCACCGCAATAATCGTGCTCCTATTGTCAACAAGGACACGTTTCCTGTACTTCCGGCTCGTCGTATGGTCCCGAACCTAGCACCGCTTCCACTAAACCAGTGCCCCACTAAACCAGTGAGTCAGAAGAAAATTCTCCACTCACAAGCGTTGAACTAGTGATCCTCGTGACTGAGGTGATCATAATCTTGCACATCACCAATACACTACCTGACCAGCTTCGTGCAGTCATGACCCTCGTGCAAAAGAATGGACCATGAAGCCATCAAAATAGCCAACTGGAACGCTTGCTCGCTCAAGAGCAAAATCGTTGAGTTCGTTGATATCCTCAATGAACATAGCATAGACATCGCTGTCATCACCGAAACACACCTGAAGCCGGAGATAAATGTTCACCTCTCCGATTTTCGACTCGTAAGGCTAGACCGGAGGAGGAGTGGCTATCGAATTAAGGAGAAATATTGGCAGTCGACTGCTACCGAGTCTCCAGCTGAAGATGATTGAAACGGTGGGTTTGGAAGTATCCACTACTGTCAGCCCTATTATCATCATTGCGGCCTACTGTCCCAAACAAGTCACCATCAGGGACGGGTCGGCAGCAGACCTGCGGAGAGACATCATCAAACTAACTCGACGCCTTGAGAAGTACATCATCGCTGGCGACCTGAACGCCAAACATCAGGTTTGGGGCAACAGTCGACGCAACCAAAATGGCACAATCCTGAACGACGACCTGCAAGAGGCTCACTACACTATAATAGCGCCGGACTCTCCCACCCGCTTGAGCCGGTCTGGTGTTCACTCCACCATCGACATCTTCGTCAGTAACATGGGAGACAACATCTCGCAACCTGTGACCCACCAGGAGCTGAGTTCGGACCACTATCCGGTGGTGGCCGATGTTTAGTTTAGTTTAGTTTAGTTTAGTCTGCATTCCATCGAGGAGGCAATATCCCGGGCCATGGAACAACACGTGCCAGTATCCAGACAGGTGAGCAATACTCTGAACCTTGACAGATCTACCGAAGACTCCGTAACACCATCCGAAGGCAGTACTAACGCTCTGGTCTGTCTGTCCTTAAGACCCACTGTAATCGCTTAACAAAAACCATCCAAGCCAGGATGGTGGACCTCAGAAATCAGGACTTTGCTAGCAGGATCCGCTCTCTCCCAGATTGTGCAAAGCCCTTTTGGAAATTAACCAAAATTCTTAAAAATAAGCCAAGACCCATTCCACCACTGAGCCCACTGAATAGTCCCGGCGAACCAGTGGTTCATCTGACAGCTCCTGAAGAGAAGGCTGTCGCGATAGGTCAACACTTCGTCAGCTCTCATAATCTCGGACAAAACATCGTCAGCCCTCACGAAGTCCAATGAACATTTAGAATTAAGATCCTGCTTGGATGGACGAATTGTTGATTGCCTGAAGCAGCTAATTATGATTAAATATTGAACCTGAACCAAACTTTCTAACTTTGTGAAAGCACAACTCTGAATATCAAATTTTCGATAGTGCTGATGGAAAGAAAGTGAGGGGGCAATCCCAAGTAAGCAACAAGCCTGCTTAGTAATAATACAACTAATAATGCACCAAAGCCCTGTATTATTTGTACGTTAGCTTTATATAGCAAAATCAATCCAAATTTTGGGTTTTATTAGGGTGCTGTAGACCATGATTTAGACTTGTAGAGTGCTTTAAAACCTCAATTAAACTTATAATGCTACTTGGGCTGGAATGTGCAATACATGATTGTGAACGATTTCCCACCGGAGGTATCCCACTGCAATCAAGCGTTTGGTTAAACGTGTTTTCCATAACAAATGTTCAACGGAGATGGGATGGGCAATGAAGTGTGCACGGGGAATATATTTTATAACGGGGGATTAAACACAAGTGTTTCATATGTCCCTAACGAAAAGTCCAGAAACAGTCAGAAAAATAACTAATAAGGGTGAGGAAATTGACATGTCAAGGAGAGGAAATGGAGTAAATTGAGGAAATAAGTTACTTCTACTGTATTTTAAATCAATATCAAGAAAAATGCACTAGAAGTTCACTAAACATATCAACGAAGTCTACGTCAACCATTCGGTCGTGTCTTGTACACAACCCCACCAATTTTTAGCTTCCGCAGCCCCCCTAGACACACCTCCGTTGCCCCGGTTGATGAAGGAACGAAAGGATCCTGCGGAGGCCAGTCCAAACAAATGAGCAATGTGAGCAACCTCCGTCCTTCCGTCCTCAGCACAGTACGGCTGTTTATATGCGATAGTGCCCGACAGTGGCCAGCAGAGCGCTGCACAAGGAAAACAATTTTCCTTTCCTGGCCGATGCAGCTACCAGCCGACCGACCGACCGTACCTATTCTCCTAATAAAATAAGGGGAAAAAGGCCCCCATATCATCGTCGTTAGAGTCGTAAAAAAAAAATTTGCTATGCTCTGCCTTTGCCTTTGCGCTGTTGGCCACTTGTAGAGCCTTCTGGTCGGTACACAACACAACTTTCTAGTCGCAAACCGAACCATACAAAGGACGAATGGAAATTTTCCCGGGTGCGGGGAGACGTCCAAACAGGTAGATCATAAGTTAGCGTTATGTGTTTGCTCTGCTGTTGCTTGAGCTGTCAGGAAAACTGGCAAATGAGACTGAAACATGAAACAATATACGGAACAAGAGCAACAACAATAACAACAATTTGCGGGGCGAGGATTGGGACGGAACCGGTTGCGCTCTTTTTGAGTGCGGATAGCCACATTGTGGGAAATTGGTCTGTGCTAGGAGAAGTTTGAGGTTGAGCATATCACTTCCGGCGAGGTTTCGTCGGTTGGCAGAACAGCAAAGGAGATAGTTTATTTTTTTTTCCCCCCAAACCGGCCATATAGTTTGGCCAAATTGAGTTTGCTGTTGGCAAATAACAATTTAATTT